TTTGATTCTCACAAATCAATCAGTTGAGATTTACTATATAATAAGTACTGTTCACTAAGTGTACTCTGTGTATCTGGGTAAGTCTGAATATGCTTCTAGTAGTTGTACAATTCATTATTAATTTATTTATTAATGAATTCAAGTTTTTAATTGGTTATATAGTGATATTGATAATTATGGAACCCGTGAGTTTTTGTAAAACACAACGGTAAATCAAAATCGTACAGTAACAATGACTGTAAAGTGGCAATATGTAAATCTGAAAGATTTTAAGTGAAAAACACCAAATATTCCCCTAAAGAAACTGATCATACAGGAAAGGAAGGTTATTTTAAAGTGCTGAATATCTGTGAGCCATTGCCTAACTATTTCAAGGAGTGTATCAGGCCTTTAAAGTGTCTGTGTGTGAAGACAGTAGCGCAAATCCGTGAATGAATGTTTCGAAGTGAAATAAACTTCAACGGAATAAAGTTGAATGGAATTGAATTGAATTAAAGTTGAATAAACTTCAACTTTACTGTTCAGTGCACTGATGTCAGACTCATTTTGGATAGTAAAGTTTATTGTTAAATTGTTAAATGCCCTGCCTCCATCATTACATATCTCTGTCACGTCATTATAAGTGTTTGATCACCACATTTGAGTGATCATTGCAAAAAATGTGTTTATGTATATATATTCTGTTTATGTATATACTGTATTCTATATATAGTACCAGTCAAATGTTTGGACACACGAATGGGAAAGTGTCCAAACTTTTGACTGGTACTGTACTATAATATACACAAAGAATATCGGCCGATATATCGGTATCGGCCTTTTTTTTTTAAATTCCCTAATATCGGTATCGGCCCCAAAAAACCCATATCGGTCGGGCTCTACTGATAATAAATGGTGGAAATCAGGGTAAATATTGACTCGGAAAATTAGTAACACTTGGCCATTCTCTCAAAGTCAACATGTAAGATAATAAAAGAAAAAGGTTAACTTCCTGGTATCACTCTGTACAGTTTATCTGTGTAGGTTATTAAATATTTGTTCATAATTGTTATTAAAATGTAACTTGCAAACCTGAAAACATTTTCCTTTTCGGCTGATGTCACTACACAGGCTATTAGTTAATCAATAGCTATTTTGGGATTGTTTTACAGTATTATAGGTAATGCTTCCTTTCTACAATCTTGCCAAAGGTTTTCACTATAGTTTACTGCCTGTTAATAGCAAAAAACAATAGATTTGAAATCCATTTGGATACATGTAGAGAAGCCCTCCACAATCCACTGTAAACTTGATTTAAATCACCCACTTTTCACCGTTTACTTTTCATTTACAAAAAAATATTTACAAAAAGAAAAGATTTTACAAAATGTTTAAAAAAATATTCTGCACGATTTTCCGAAATTTTCTTTACAAACATGTTTTCTGTACAAAAAGAAAAGAAAACGAGCTGGAACTTGTACAACAAGTTCTCATCACAGAGAACCAGTGTTTAAAGGGTTACTCCACCCCAAAATGAAAATGTTGTCATTAATAACTTACCCCCGTGTCGTTCCAAACCCGTAAAAGCTTCGTTCGTCTTCGGAACACAATTTAAGATATTTTGGATGAAAACCGGGAGGCCTGTGACTGTCCGATTGACTGCCAAGTAAATGTCAAGGTCCAGAAAAGTATGAAAGACACCGTCAGAATAGTCCATCTGCCATCAGTGGTTCAACCGTAACGTTATGAAGTGACGAGAATACTTTTTGATCGCGAAGAAAACAAAAATAACGACTTTATTCAACAGCGCTTTTGCAATTTTGGAGAATATCCGCTGAACGCAAGCAGCGTATGCTATTCTGTGTCAGCCACGACACACAGATGCACTGTTTTTGTTCAAATCAAAGCGTAAATACACGTAGAAAACGTATCCTTGTGTCACAGAAGAGCGTACGCTGCTTGCGTTCAGTGGATATTCTCCAAAATTGCGCTACGGTGATGCGGAGAGACACAGAGGAGACGAATTGTTGAATTTTCGTTATTTTTGTTTTCTTCGCGTATAAAAAGTATTCTCGTCGCTTCATAACGTTACGGTTGAACCTCTGATGGCAGATGGACTATTTTGACGATGTCTTTCATACTTTTCTGGACCTTGACAGTGTTATTTACTTGGCAGTCAATGGGACAGTCACAGGCCTCCCGGTTTTCATCCAAAATATCTTAAATTGTGTTCCGAAGACGAACGAAGCTTTTACGGGTTTGGAACGACACGGGGGTAAGTTATTAATGACAACATTTTCATTTTGGGGTGGAGTAACCCTTTAAACACTGGTTCTCTGTGATGAGAACTTGTTGTACAAGTTCCAGCTCGTTTTCTTTTCTTTTTGTACAGAAAACATGTTTGTAAAGAAAATTTCGGAAAATCGTGCAGAATATTTTTTTAAACATTTTGTAAAATCTTTTCTTTTTGTAAATATTTTTTTGTAAATGAAAAGTAAACGGTGAAAAGTGGGTGATTTAAATCAAGTTTACAGTGGATTGTGGAGGGCTTCTCTACATGTATCCAAATGGATTTCAAATCTATTGTTTTTTGCTATTAACAGGCAGTAAACTATAGTGAAAACCTTTGGCAAGATTGTAGAAAGGAAGCATTACCTATAATACTGTAAAACAATCCCAAAATAGCTATTGATTAACTAATAGCCTGTGTAGTGACATCAGCCGAAAAGGAAAATGTTTTCAGGTTTGCAAGTTACATTTTAATAACAATTATGAACAAATATTTAATAACCTACACAGATAAACTGTACAGAGTGATACCAGGAAGTTAACCTTTTTCTTTTATTATCTTACATGTTGACTTTGAGAGAATGGCCAAGTGTTACTAATTTTCCGAGTCAATATTTACCCTGATTTCCACCATTTATTATCATCGCCGATACCGATATATCGGCGACAGGCTCATATCGGCCGATAATATCGGCAAAACGATATATCGGTCGGGCTCTAATTATCAGTCCCAGAGAAACTGCCTTTGTGAGCGAATAACAGCGAACACTTAACATACTTCACTGTTAATACAGCTTCTCAAAAGCCAATGTCTGTGACGACCTCTGAGTGCTTTGAGAAATGGTGAGACAATACATGACTCATAATGCCGTCCTTCACGTTTCCTTACTGTGTGTGCGCTCAGTCACGCTTTCAGGGAATCTTGTTTTGAGTCACTGGTCTCCAGAGCAACCATCAGCCTGTGGCCACAGCAACAGACGAAAGGGAGCGTGGTGAATGGGTTTCAGTATAAAACAGTGAAAATGGTCTGCAGCTGCAGCAATGACAGTTCAGTGTTGAAGGACAATCCTCATCAAACACACACAATGATCCATCACTCGGTTCATGTTTCTCTCTCACTGTGCTCACACCCCGTCTAATGGACCGAGGGCATTTTATTACAGCGCTGTCAGTCTTTATTACTCCATTGTCTTTGTCTCTATTCGATTCAACGCCACAGTCATTCTCTCTATGTGCCTCTGTTTTAGTTCATTTCCTGCATCTAAAAGATTCATTTTTTTCATTCCACTTCAAACTTTATCTTTGCGGTCGGGTGACCCCACTGCGGCCTTACCTTGTGATGTCATAAACGAGAAGAGCTCCTGCTGCTCCACGGTAGTAACTGCGGGTCACCGATCTGTTAGACACAAATGGAGAATGACCTCAACCAATCAGTGTCAGCACAGAGCAGCGAGGACGTCCTGACGAGCCAATCACAGGCAATTACCTAAAGCGCTCCTGCCCAGCCGTGTCCCAGATCTGCAGTTTGACCGTTTTGCCGCCAACATTGACAACCCTGGAGCCAAACTCAACGCCGATGGTGTGGTTGGAGTCCTGCTTGACTGTGACAGACAATGGTTGGTTAGAAGCAGAGCTAACAAACTGTTTAAAGGGGTCTTTTCATTGATGTTTGATGCCAGCAGTGTTGTTTTTGTATTATTTAAACTATTACAGTTTTTATTTAAATTTTAATTAGAATTAATTTTTCTATTTTGAGTAGTCATTTTAATTTTAGTTAATTTTGACATTTTGTAATGTGCTTTTCTCATTTTTATTAGTTTTTGTTTTTTTAAATATTATTGATTAGATTTAATTTATTTTTATTTCAGCTTTACACTGAAACAAATGGTAATACAAATTAATTGGTTTTATTCAAATCAAAAAACATTATCATCAGTAATACAACAAAAAAAAATTATATAAATTATATATATATATATATATACATACACATATATATATACATACATATATATACATACATAATTTACATACATATATATATACACATACATACATATATATATACATACATATATATATATATGCCAATTTGCCAGTTCAAGTTAACACTTTTTACAGTTTTGTTCTTATTATTTCCAGTTAGTAATTTTAGTGCTTAGTTGTAGTAGTTAACTTAAACTTTCAGTTTCTCTCTTTTCCACGTATTTTTTTTCTCTTTTTTTTAAAAATTAAAATATAAAGTTTATTAAAGTTTTCATATTTATATTTTATTTTAACTTTTTCAATAAAAAAAAAAAGAAAAAAGTTTTCACTAATCCTGAATGCCAGTTTTTTGTACCAAAACAATTTATTTCTTCACAACAACCTTCTCTCAGAAAAATTAATTGTTTCGCATGTGAAAAATGATACAGCACTTTACTGCTCTTACTCATGGGTTGTGGGTTTGCTGTCAGGTCAAATATAGTTTACCCTCCCCCATCCTTTAATATATTCCTGTGTTACATTGTGACAGGTTCACAAAAGTATGTATGTATGTATATATGTATGTATGTATGTATGTATGTATATATATGTATGTATGTATGTATATATATACATACATATATATACATACATATATATACATACATAATTTACATACATATATACATACATAATTTACATACATATATATATACACATACATACATATATATATACATACATATATATATATATGCCAATTTGCCAGTTCAAGTTAACACTTTTTACAGTTTTGTTCTTATTATTTCCAGTTAGTAATTTTAGTGCTTAGTTGTAGTAGTTAACTTAAACTTTCAGTTTCTCTCTTTTCCACGTATTTTTTTTCTCTTTTTTTTAAAAATTAAAATATAAAGTTTATTAAAGTTTTCATATTTATATTTTATTTTAACTTTTTCAATAAAAAAAAAAAGAAAAAAGTTTTCACTAATCCTGAATGCCAGTTTTTTGTACCAAAACAATTTATTTCTTCACAACAACCTTCTCTCAGAAAAATTAATTGTTTCGCATGTGAAAAATGATACAGCACTTTACTGCTCTTACTCATGGGTTGTGGGTTTGCTGTCAGGTCAAATATAGTTTACCCTCCCCCATCCTTTAATATATTCCTGTGTTACATTGTGACAGGTTCACAAAACAATCTATGCTGAAATGAGCTGTTCTCTTAAAACTGGACTGAAAAGATGTCATGGAAATACATTTGTGCTATTGTTTTATCTTTCTCTCTTTTTTATCATGTAAACTTGTATTTGTTTTATGATATGACCCCTGAAGACATGCATATTAAATTTTCATATTATAACATATTCAAAGTTAATTTCTGTCTTGGAAACAACTTAAAGATAGGGTCATTTAAAATCCATTCAATGTCACAGACATAATTAGCAATTACGCCTCTTTCCTTCTTTTTCTCTGTAAATTGAGATTGACATTGGATTTTCTAAGCTTACTGACAACATGATTTCCATTCATTGCATGTTTCAAAAGCATGTAAAGATACTCTGACTTCACACAGAATTAACATTCAAGGCCCCCTCTATCTCTCTGCAGAACGCTGTGAGAATTAAAGGTTATGTTTTAATTCAAGTCTTTGTGAGAGTGAGACATTAATATGGGCTTACACTTGTTCTCTATGAACTGATGGAGGAGGCATGATTTCCCAGTCCCAGCGCTGCCAATCACTAGGAACTTAAACAGGAAATCTAAAACCAAGAGGGAGAGAAAAAAAGAAAGAATCAATATCGCTGTTGCACTGCACAGACAACATGATTAAAGAATGTTTGGATGTTGTTCAGAGCACTTGGCCATCCTGATATCCTTCATTCAATTTCAACTACAGATCTGCGTTCTTATGACCGTCAAATTGAAGAGTGTATTCTTTGAACAATTAAACCCATCTTGAATTGCTATGTTCTTCCAAGAAGAGTTGCCAAGTAACCGACTAAACATGCATTAAACTGCAGATTGCTCATATTTTCTATTGTGTGGTAGGCCTGATTCTGCCAAAGATGAATCCAGCAGAAAGATTTTTTTTTTTTACTGTTTTTCAGAAGTCTCTGAAAAAGGCAGCATTTATTTGATAAAAAATACAGTAAAAACAGTAAAATATCAAAAATATAACTAAAAATGTGAAAGATTATTATAATTTAAAATATGGTAACTGTTATCCATTTGATATATTTTAAAATATAATTGATTTCTGTGATGTAAAGCATCATTACTCCAGCCTTCAGTGTCACATGATCCTTCAGAAATCATTCTAATATGCTGATTTCCAGCTCAAGAAACATTTCTTATTATTATTGATGTTGAAAACAGTTGTGCTGCTTAGTATTTTGTGGAAACTGTGATACTTTTTTTTCAGGCGTCTGAATAGAAAGTTCAAAAGTCGTGGCCTAATGGTTAGAAAGTCGGACTTGTAAGCCAAAGGTCGCGGGTTCGAACACCATACTTGGTCTCCTTTCCTTTCCTTTCCTTTCCTTTCCTTTCCTTTCCTTTCCTTTCCTTTCCAGAACAGCATTTATTTGAAATAGAAATATTATGTAACAATGCCTTTACTGTCTGTTTTGATCAATTTATTGCTAAATTGAAGTATTAATTTCTTAAAAAAAAAATTAAAAAAAAGGTACAAACTTTTGAACACTCTAGACATTGGATTTGCCAAAAAAAAAAACAACAACACATTAGTCGATCTCATTTATGCTATATAATTAGCCTATATGAGATATATTACAATTATATCTGACACTGAAAACAATGCTCTAGATACTGGCATCGGCCATTAAACAACCATTAAACTATTGGCTGACCACTTCTCCTCTGCACTAACTTTAAGATATCGGCCAAATTTTCTTATCGGGCCGATACCGATAACAGAAAAAATGAGCATTTATCGGCCGATACCGATATGGTGGCCGATATATCGTGCATCCCTACTCTATATCTAATCTCATCATCTCATCCAACATTATGTAATAGACATTTATAGGCTATTCATCAATGCAATACCATGTCAATAAAATAGTCATCAAAATTGTAAAGAAATGCATGTGAAATGCATCCTTGCTGAAGATACAATGACATGATAGCAGGATGTCATAACAGTGAGGGAGTGTGTTGTAGAAGTTCAGTGGGGTCGGAGTGGGTCTCAACCCAACCCACGCAGCAGCGTGAGACAAGAGCATCCCAAAAGCTCTTTGTGTTAGAAGAGGACAGAGAACCATTTGCATGTGTGCGTATGACATGCATTCAGCCATAACGGCTGGAACAGAGGAGGGTTTCAGGAGGGATTCAGCAGGGATGCACTGAATGTTCGACAACCGAAATTATTTGGCTGCAAATTGCAAAATAAGGCGCTTTCTATGTTCGGCCAAATAAGTGAAAAGACCGAATAAATTTTACCGAAAAATGACGTTTTTGATTATGTGATCAAACAGCAACCAGCGTAGAGTGAGAGGCACACACACTTTAAATGCAGAAAACATGTCGGCAGTGTGGAAGCTTTTTACAGTGTTCAAGAAAGACGCCAAAATGGCCGTTCGCAGACACTGTTCTTCTGAATGAGGGCTTACATCTGCAAAAACGCACAGCATGACAAGTTTAATTTATCATTTAAAATCAACATACCCCGAACAGCATGCAGAGTATGAAAAAGGCAGCAGCAGCAGCGAAAGGGAAATTTCCTGCTCCCAGTCCCAGCACACTCACTCCATCTGTGATCCAGAAGTCACAAACTAGAGCCCGACCGATATATCGTTTAGCCGATATTATCGGCCGATATGAGCCTGTCGGCGATATATCGGAATCAGTGAATATGCCGCCGATATTAAATTTTTTTTTACAGAACATATAATGCAGATAGAATGCTTGAAATGGTGTAATTACTTAGTTTGTCCAGCAGAGCGCACTCCATTGTTTGCTACTGGCGACCTGGATGAAACGCTTTAAAGCTTAAGTCTATGGAAAACCATTGAAACTTTGAACGGCCATATCTCCGTAACGGAGCGGCAAATCCCCTCACCAAATTCGGGGGATCCCTTCAGCTCGAGGAACCCTCTCGAACACGAATCGAGTGTACGTCTAGAGGCCCTCTTTCGAATGAGACCACCTCCGCGTGGATAGCCCCCGGGGTTCGGGAGTTACAGGTGGTTAAATTCGTGGTCCGGCGCCGACCGATCAAGCGATCCCGGGGGGCTACCGAC